GTCTTCTTCCAAGTTATTAGAAAATTGCTTCAATAAGAAAAAGGAAACAGAACAATAATGATCGATAAAATTAACAAGACTCTCTGAAACAGGGCCCTGCTACCAACTTATTGCTTCCCTAATCCAAATGCACCTTTTCAATACATGCTCTGTGGTACTGGGAGAATTCCTCCATGTGTTCCTTTTGAAGTCAGCCCCATGTTGAGCCTTCTCTGCAGAGGGCTTGGAGGAACACTGTATAGAGGAGGCTTCCAGAAATTTCCTGAGGGGGGTTTGCTTTGGCCATGTGGATATAAGGACCCCCGGGAGAGGTCAGAAACCGAAGCCCCTGGCCTGGTCCCCAGCACTTCCTGCCTTCCCGCCGCCACCTCTGGACCTTGGCTTGACAGTGACCTTTGCATGACCCTTTTAACATGAAAACGAGGCAGTTCTTTTGAACTTCTGTATTGTTTACTTCAAATTCAGGTCTTCCATCTAACCTAGACCCTGAGTTACTAAGACAAATCATTTTGCTTTTCTGTTTTTTTGGTTTTTTCCCCCACTTTGGATTTCCTAGACCAAAGGTCAGCACACCATGCTCTGCAGGTCAGATCCCACCTGTCACCTGATTTTGTAAATAAAGTTTTATTGGCACTCAGTCACACCCATTTGCTCAGGTGCTGCCAACACCTGCCCGCCAACAGCAGCAACGAGTAGTCTCCAGAGACCATTGGGCCAAGAAAACACTTACTCCCTGACCTTTAAAGAACAAATTTGCCAGCCCCTGCCCTAGGTCATCAAAACATTCTTTACAGTTTCAGACAAATGAAGGAAATTAAGTGGATTAATGCCCATAAAACTACCCCATCAATACTCCACAATGACAATGAGATGCGGAACAACTTCCCTTCCATACAGCCCAGCAAGGAGACTGCTTAAGCTCTTCAGAGAACTTACTAGAAGGAAACTAAACTGTGATTAGGATGGATTTTCCAAGCTTTAGAAAAGCTTAGCTTTGTTTGAAAGGAAACATTATTTGTGGTGGAAGAGAAGGCAGCCTGCCAGGGGAAAAGAGATTCCTTCTTCATAAACAAAAGGCTTTCAAAGTGAAACCTGAGTCAGGCAGACCACGTGTCTGTGTCCTCTGAAGTCCTCGGGGCACCAGGGAGGCAGCTGCGGCCGGAATCAGGAGGCCTGGGTGGGGAGGGATGGGACTTCACCGCTCACCAGATGGGTGGCCTGGGGCGACTTCTGCAAAAGTCTCTAACATCTTACTCTTTTCATTTATAAAATAAAGGATTTAAATAAAGAGTTGCTAAACCAAGACAAGAATCAAAATAACCTGGGCAGCTCTTTAGAAACATTGATTCTGAAATATATCCTTGTTGTTGTTGCTCAGTCGCTAAGTCATCTCCGACTCTTGGCAACCCAGTGAATGACCGCACGCCAGGCTTCTCTGTCTTTCATCATCTCCCGGAGTCTGTTCAAACTATTGTCCATTGAGTCGGTGATGCCATCCAACCATCTCACCCTCTGTTGTCCCTTTCTCCTCCTGCCTTCAATCTTTCCCAGCATCAGGGTCTTTTCCAATGAGTCAATTCTTCCCATCAGGTGGCCAAAGTATTGGAGCTTTAGCTTCTAATGAATATCGAGGGTTGATTTCCTTCAGGATTGACTGGTTTGATCTCTTTGCTGCCCAAGACTCTTAAGAGTCTTCTTCAACACCACAATCAAAAGCATTAATTCTTCACCACTCAGCCTTTTTCATGGTCCAACTCTCACATCCACATTTGCCCATGACTACTGGAAAAAACCATAGCTTTGGCTTATGCACCTTTTTTGGTAAAGTAACGTCTCTGCTTTTTAATATGCTGTCTAGGTTTGTTGTAGCTTTCCTTGCTCCTTAAAAGGGGCAAGCGTCTTTTTTTAATTTCATGGCTGCAGTCCTTGGAGTTTCTCATTTTATAAATCAGAAGAGGAACCCAGGAGCATGATTCTAGGAAGCAAGTCAGGCTTCAAGAGGCAGCATGGACTGAACGGGCCAACATAAGGGCATCTCGGAGTTAGAGTCTGAGTCCTTCCAAGTCAATAACCTGATCCTGCCTCCTACACACAGCTCTGGGGCAACACACACTAACACACAAACACACGCCATTAAGCTTCCTCTTTCCTTATATATTATATATATCTTATATCTATATATTATATATATATATGTATATATATATATCTTTCCTTATGTCTTGGGTTTCCGTATTTATGGGAAAAGCAATGTACGTGTAATTAAAGTGACCCTTTTTGAGGGTACTTGGTATTTCAGGAGGCACCCATCCCAAACTTATCTCTTCTGCATGTTTCATTAAAATCATAAGGCCGCTCACAGGTGGGGCAGCCACAGTCCCTGCTGACACAGGGCCTGGGAAGGAGCCAAAAGGTTAGTGAGAGCCACTGGCTCTCCTGTGCACCTGTGTTCTGACAATTTCCAAAAACGTGTTGTGCTTTCTTACATCAGTGAGAAACATGAGGTCTCAGTTTCAACTCCAGTGCTTGGCATTTTCCAGTTTGTGTTGTTGTTTGTTTATGTCTTGCTGACGTAAGAAGGTGAATCGTTTCTGATGGAATTTGGTGTCCTGAGTCAAGGCCCACAGACAACCCAGAAGATGAGTTTGTCCCTTTCTCCCAGGCTGAAACAATTTGGCAATTGCCTAATTTTCAAGTGGGATTAACTCTGAACAGATTGTCATGCATTTTAGTACATAAGTAGAGGTTAGAGACGCATGCGATTCCATGAAATGAGGCGACAAAGCGTGTATAAAATGAGGTTTAAACAGCAGACGTGAGCCATTTCTGCTCACCTAGGGAGGGAAGGTAGGAAGGCTGAGAGACATGTCCTCATTTTGAACAGCCTCTCTCTCCCTCTGCCTTTCTGGTTACCTTAACAATTTAAGCTGCAATTGTGTTAGTTAAGTCAGTTTCGCTTAATTAGCAAGATGATTCCATAAATGAGACCCACACCACAAGGCTGTCTGACGGTATGTTCAGAAACTTCACTTAGTCCGCTTTTCTGGTTCTTTAATATATTTTAAAACAGACGGTGCTACTGGACCTCCAGCTCTAGAGCTTTCCCCACAGCCTTTGGGTCAATAGTCCGCTCTATTCGGAATGGTCTTGGGGAGAAGAATCAAAGCCTGCGGCTCACCTGGCAGCAGGAACCGAGTTTCTGTTTTGCTTTCTCATGTTTAACCTGGGGCGTCATAAGCACCTGCTTGCGATGCAGAAGAAGGAAATGTGACCTCGTGCCTGGGGCTGTGACCTGCACACCATGGTCCAAGAGCTGTGGTTTCTGCACTCAAGCACCTCGTAGGTTAATGGAGAAACTGATCTGTAAAGGAATGATTAAAACTTATTAGTGTAAGTGCTAGACTATGCAGGATTAGTTTTAACATTCTTTATTTCTATTATGCAAGCTAAGGACCCTCCTCAAGTAAGAATGTGTAGGAAAGATCGTGGGCTTCCCTGGAGGCTCAGTGGTAAAGAATCTGCCTGTAATGCAAGAGATGCAGGAGATGTGCATTTGATCCCTGGGTTGGGGAGATCCCCTGGAGTAGGGCATGCAACCCACTCCAGTATTCTTGCCTGGAGAATCCCGTGGACGGAGGAGCCTGGCCGGCTACAACCCATGGGGTTGCAAAGAGTCAAACATGACTGAAGCAACTTAACATTCAAGCCAAATTGTACTGGTGAGCAGTCCATTCTACATCCTCCTCATTTCCTATGAAGAACAGGGAGGCTGATGCAGGGCAGGAGGGAGGGTTAGCCTGAGGCCCTGCTGGGCTTCAGGCAGTGTGGCAGTGAAAGAAACACAGGTACATGGTCAGAAAGGTGATGGGAGTCAGAAATCTCTGCCTGGGTCTTCATGAACACCCTCTCGCTTCTTGCCCTTGGTTCCCTGGAGGTGTCACCCAACTGAAATGCTACTGTGAGAGTTAAGAGACATGACACAGGTGACTCGGTCGATCAATGACCATTAGTTTTATTCCTTTGTTCAAAATACAGAGCCAGGCCCTTAACAAGTAGGTCCCTTCGGTCTCCCTTTGCCAAAGGACCACGGGATGCAATGGTTCAGAGTGATCGATGGGGTTCAAATCCCAGCCCCTCCCATACTAGCTGTGTGTACATTCTCTGATCTTTCATTTCCTCCCATATGTAAAATGGGGAAGTTAGTTGTATTTCTCTCCTAGTGTCACGAAGGGGATGCGGGTCAATATATAGACATAAAGTGCACACAGCGGTGTCGGGCATGTATCAGCCGCCACTGGTCCTTTCTTGGAAACATAGATGTGTGGCCTTTTCCCCTTGCAGAAGTCACAGTCATTAAAGACTATCTGAAAAAAGAATAAATAAATAAAGACTATTTGAGACAGAAAGCGACCCATCCATGCCTTAGTCTTTACCCAAGTCTGTGACCATTTGGGGATGGATTTCTGCCAAGACCACTTGTGTCCATGGACACAAAGAGCTTCCTCTGGCTGGGACTGATTCAAGGCAGCAAAAGACCCCGTCCCTACCCGTGGTCTCTGGTGCTGTATGCAGGCCCAAGATACATACTAAACCTGGAAGGGCCTTAGAGGCCACTTGTCCTGGCCCCTCATTCCCTACAGAGGCCGAGACCTCCTGAGATGGCAGGAGGGTTTGTCACTGGTCAGCCTTGTCAGAGCCTGGGCTAGAATCCATGTCCCGTCCCTGCTGGCTGCTCTTTCTGGGACCCAGCAAGAGACACAATAGACGGAACAATAGACGGAAAGACCATGAACTTGGAGTCAGAAGGCCAGGTCCACGTCTTGGTTCCTCTAACATGTCACCTGACTGTCTTTACCCAATGCCTGAACATATTAACTCCTTTCTCATGGAGCTGCTTGGAGGATTAAACAAGGTTCTGTGTGTGAAAGCACCTGGCTCGAAGCAGGTGCTTAATGAATGTTCCTTTCTTCCCCATTGCGGCAGAACTTGTATATTTATAGACGCTTGGATGCAGGAGAGAGACCCAGCATTCGCAGAGGTTTCTGATGGTGCAGCTGGCCCCGCGCCTGGGCTCAGAGGTGCGCACAGGTGAGTGCCTTAAGGCAGTGACCCTGAGCAGATTCTGAACTTCGGAGCAAAGAGAGCAATGGGACCACTTTTTTTTTTTTTCTTCCAGGAACGCAAACAACCTGGCTAGGACGCTGTGAGAAAGGGAAGGTAGGTTGTGAAACCCACAGGTGGCCCTGAGCAGTGCGGTGATGGGAGTCAGTGTCGAGGCTGTTTTCCTCTGGGCTGTGCTCGCTGCCAGGTTCATGGGGCTGCAGCCAAGTCAAACAGGGCTCCCCGCAGTCAGGGATGCACTTGCCCCAGGCGCTCCGGGACGTGGCACTGGGCTTCTGGGTCAAACGTTCGCCCCTTGTCACCGGGAGGTTGTGCACCTGTGTGGCCGCGAGGCGCCTGCTGAGAAACCATCCCCTCTGTTCCCCCAAAAAGCTCCCTGGTTTGCATTTTCTTTAAAACATCGAGCGCTAACTGAACACCAAGGCCTCAGCCAAGTCTAAACATTTGCCTTGGCACCCAGCCATCCTAACACAAGGCCCCAATGCGGTCCCAGGCTGACGCGCCTTAGAAGAGCTTCACGAGGTGAAATGCTGTGGGATCGTAAATATGCCAGGTAGACGGCTGAAGCTAGAGATTAGAATCAAAGCCTGAGTTATTAAATCCCAGGAGAAGTCAAGAAGAAGAAAACCAGCTTCCCAGCATCCTGGGAGCCCCATTACACTCAGAACACTTCCTGTCACCGACTGCATGCTTGGCGACCCGTTCCCTCGGCTGGGCCCTCCTGCTCCTGCTAAAGGTTCCCAGCAGGGCTCAGGTATTACACCTCTTTGTTGGGGCACAAACTGAGGCTCACAGGTGACAGCTGCTTAGCACAAGGTCACAGAGCTAATATGTAATGAAGGCAGAATTTAAGTAAGGTTGATTTAATTAAAAAAGAAAGCTTAAGTTGTTTTCACTAAATTCATGCCAGGAAACCAAGGTAAGTGAAAAGAAATTAAATATCCTCATGAGATAAGAGGCTTAACAAAAGTGAACTGAAGTGGGGATTTCTCTTTAGAAGGCTGCGAACAAACAGCATTGGTCTTGACTCCGATAGGAGACAAAAGTTCAGGCTTCAGCTTATCACCTGTGGTTCCTCTTCCCACATCCTGTGCCCTCACTGATTGGATTCTTCTCTAATGTGTTCCCCAAGGCCTTTCATGTCTCCTTTGCCTTGCTGTTTCTTCTGCAAAGAATGCCTTTTGAAACCTGAAACATCCTTAATTCTCCTGTCTTCAGGACAGATCTCTGACTCTTGCAGGTGATTCTGAGAACAGTAAGTTCAGTTTTGTCTGGTTCTTCTCTTAGTAAAAATGCAGATCCCTGAGTCCTGCTTCTAGAAATTCTGATTTGCGCAGCCTAGGGTGGACCCCAAAATATCTATGTGCATAAACATTCAGATGATTCTGATTCAGAAGATCTGCGGGCCAAGCTTTGAGGAACACAGCCTAAATGTATGGCTTCTTTCCCATTAGAAACGTTATAGTTCTTGTTCTTATTTTAGTTGTCTCTGTATGTTTGTTCTTGCCGCTTTCGTCTTCATGCAGGGGCTGTGCCTTGTCAATTTTTTTTTATTCTTCTAGAGTCAGACACTTAGTAAAGACTTCATAAATATTTATTGGACTGAACTTATTACCATCTATTTAACAAGAAGACACTATTTTGTAAATATTATTTTTGTGCCTTTTTCCCTTTGTAACAGGTAAAGAGTAAATTTAGGGAAGCGTTGGGGGAAAATGAAGACAGCAAATGTGAGGACTTCCCCAGTGGTCCAGTGGTTAGGACTCCATGATTCCACAGCAGGGGGCCCAGGATCAATTCTTGACTGAGAACTGAGATCCCACAGCTGTGCAGAGTGGCTGAAGGGAAAAAAAAAAAAATTCAGCAGGTATGGACAGGCGAGAAAATAAGGACGCTGGAAGGGAGTTCAGTGAGGACATTCCTTCATCTCCCGGGGTCCTAGAGGATAAGCAAGGCGATATTGTTATTCAGAGCAAAAATGGAAAAGGTGCCAAGATGCAGGTTTTAGTTCTATCTTTTGATGCCAACTGACTTTTAAAGATACTCAGCCCTGGGTGGTTTGGAAACCAATCTACATGGAGATGAGAGACTGAATTACATGAGCTCCTTGAGGATGATGGACCCTAACTGGATGAGATACAGCCATTTAGGTCTCTTGGAAGTTCATGCATTTATACTTTAAGATACTTTAATGTATCTGTGGAGAAGGAAATGGCAACCCACTCCAGTATTCTTGCCTAGAGAATTCTGTGGACAGAGGAGCCTGGTGGGCTGCTGTCCATGGGGTCGCACAGAGTCGGCCAGGACTGAAGTGACTTAGCATTCATGCATGCATTGGAGGAGGAAATGGCAACACACTCCAGTATTCTTGCTTGGAGAATCCCAGGGACAGAAGAGACTGGTGGGCGCCATCTATGGGGTCGCACAGAGTCGGACACGTCTGAAGCGACCTAGCAGCAGCAGCAGCAATGTATCTGCAAACACTTCCAGTATGATAACCTAAGCTTGGCCCCAGCTCAAAGCCACCTAAAATCCTTGTGCATTTAAATTCACTAAATTTAGAGCTCAGAAGTGAATGAAAGACTTGGCCAAAACAGGGCTTAGAGGATTATAATATACTATAAGTTTGGGAATCCATTCTCTCCCCAGAGGCCTTTAGAAACCTTACCCTGAATCACCAGCACAGCCTCCCCTGCCCTCATTCTTTTCACCTGGAGACATAATCTATAGATGATTATAGTCTAAGCATGTCCTGTTCATTCCTTAAAGGAGTATTCCTTTTTGAAACCCTCTCCAGACCAGGGAGACTTTCCTTTACTCAAATAACTATTTGGCCATGTTCTCTCTCCTCCCATCTTTCTCCTCTTTCTCCTACTCTTGGAATGACTTTTAACTGACAAACTTAGAGGCAAACTTAAATATCTTTATATCCCATAAGGTTTTTCCACAAGAAGGTTCCAGTGAGGATGTTGCTAAGAGTTCATTTGTAGTCATAGAACTGAGATATAAATATCCACGGGTGGGTGGACCATAACATATCTTCATTTATTTACTCAGCAAGAAAGGAGACCATAAATATCACACTTCATGTTTTTTCAGTATTCAATAAGAGCCATTTTTGGTTAGACAACTCTTACTATCTCACTGGATGCAAGGAATCCTGGGGCCAGAGTTGGAAAGCAGAGGTTTGAGCACTTAGGTCTTTAGAGCTCTCAGCATTGACTAAGGTTCTATCATAAGTCTATGGGGATGCCACACCTCAGTACCTCTTCAATGCTCTACTTGTTAAGTAAGAACAGACAGACACAAAATCAGCACCTGTTATGTGTCAGGCATTCTGAATGGTGCTGGGAAATATGACTTTTCTATCTTAAAGAGAAAAGATAGATACCAAAAGATAGATACCTCATTATCTATTTGGTATCATCTAAATTAATGAACGAGCTTCCCAGGTAGTTATAGTGGTAAAGGATCTACCTGCCAATGCAGTAGACATGGGTTCAATCCCTAGGTTGGGAAGATCCCCTGGAGAAGGAAATCACAACCCACTCCAGTATTCTTGCTAGGAGAATCCCATGGACAGAGGAACCTGGTAGATTAGAGTCAGTGGAGTTGTGAAGAGTTGGACAAAACTGAAGCTACTTAGCACACACGCACAATGTAATGAACAATTTTAATAAAGCCAGACATTGTTCTGAATCAAACAGTAATGTCTATTTAAGCATAAATGTCTATCAACAACATATGTGTCTAACAATAGCATTTCACATGATTGAGACCATACCTTTGCATTTCCTAAGTCTTGACAGTAAATGCATACAAATGGTATGCTAAATATGGTAATAATCATTAGAAAGTTAATACTCCATCTTTCCAATTTCTCATATGTTACTTCATCAGTAATTTAATAAGCACCGACTTTCAGTGGAGTCGTTGCTCTATGCTAAGAGAGATGGGGATTAGGATAATTTAAAAATAACCTTCCCCTTTTTAAGAGAAACTCAAAATTTAGTTGGAGAGGCAGGCATGTGGCTCTAATGAAAAATTATAAAGCAAATATTAGCATATCATATCTGGAGAGTCAAATTGGACTATCTAAGCTAGCTGTGTGTGTTAGTCACTCAGTCATGTCCAACTCTCTATGACCCCCAGGGACTATAGTTGGCCAGGCTCCTGTGTCCATGAAATTCTCCAGGCATGAATACTGGAGTGAGATGCCATTCCCTTCTCCAGGGGATCTTCGGAACCCAGGGCTAGAACCCAGGTCTCCAGTGTTGCAAGAAGATTCTTTACCATCTGAGCCATCAGGGAAGCCTGTTCTAATCTAACTGGTGCATCTGAAAGGAAAGAGGCACCTCTGGTTCTTTCTTCACCCACAGAAGATTCAATTCCTCCTTTTTTTGAGACCAAAGTTGAGGGTTCAAGTTTGCTTTGATTTTGCACTACTTCAGACTGATCCCTAATTATTCCTCGAAGATCCCACACTCAGGGAGAGCCTGCAGAGTCCAGAAAGATGTGCCTCTGTGGGTCTGATCATCAGAGAATTTATTAAATTATTCAAAACCTCCCACATTTCTGACAGGAGAAAAGCTAAGTCCCTGCCTTGCGATTCCTGACCTTGCCTCTGGTGACTCCTCATTCTTCACCTCCTGCCTCTCCTCAGACTGGCTTGAACCATCTTTGGAACTCATCCATTAAACAACCACCCAGCAGATATCATAGACATAGGGCCTCTCTGCCTGAAATGCACAAAAGCCTCCACTTCTGTCTTCTTGTCCAGTTCATCCTTCGGGTCTCATGTCTGTGTTGTCTTCCTCAGTCCCTCGGGCATAGTGTGGTTGTTCCCCCTTCATGCTCTCTCTACTCCCAGTGTGACTCTGCACTGTACTCTCCCCTGCTGGCTTACTGTCTGCTTCACCTTTACGTGCTTAGGAACAAGCTTGTGAGCACTCTTTCCTTCATCACTG